CAAAAGTCTGACAGTTTTTTCCTCCTTTGCTGCATGCACACAGATACATATATGATGTGCATATGCAGCAGAGACGAAATTAAGGCAAGTTCTAAATGATGCTTTACTAAAACGTAAACATAAAAATGTTAACTGCAGCTCTAAAAATTGACTCTAAACATATAAAAGGATCAAGATTTTGAAAACAATTTAATTTCCCAAGTAAATATCTAAAAGAACATGGTGTAGTTTAAATGCTGGTATAGGATGTAAGGAATAGGTCAGCCCAAGTGCATGCTGACTGATCATTCCAGACAGATCCTCTGGTGGAAAATTTTCTCATGTCATTGTTAGATGGTAGCCCTGGTTTTCCTAGACCTATACCCCCTGGAGCCACAATGAAAGGAAACTTTCCTGAGATGTAAATGGTAAAGACATCACTGCCATTCTCTTAAATTAAGTTTTAGATAATGTTCTTGGAAAAGAAAGCTTGTTTGTCCCAGAGTACAAATTAAAAAATACAATTATCAAAGCAAATCTAAAAGCAACTATATTCAAGAGTAGATAAGTGCAAGTAAAAGTTGAATTCTAGGAACATGAGAAGACTAAGTTTTTGTTGTGTTTTTTAATTTTTTTTTCCTTTTTTTTTTTTTTAATAGGACAGGGTAGAGAAACATTTTGCTTAGTTCATCACCCTGGCGGGAGTCTATAAGAACACCTGAAACCATAACTCCCATACATCATCTTGCAAGATATATCCCTTATCTCTATTCTGTTGCTTGCTTTCTCAAGTATAGGTTACGTGATCAGTCGAGAAAACACATTGCTCTAGCATGAGTAGGTCACATTTGACCCAATCTCTCTGCAGAGTTGCTAACATAGATAAGAAAGATGGAATATGCCTTGGTATAGCATTTCCCATTTGTCTTAGTTCATGTAAACTCAGGGAAACATCACAATTTAGTGTATGACACTGTCAGTACCTGCAGGATGGAATATGTCTTGAAGTACTGCCCTGTGTTGGAGTCTGGGGAATGGGCAGAGTTGTAGTTTCTGAATAAATGTGCAAACCAGCATTTTGAGTAGAGTTTTTTCTATGCAACTCTTCACTCAGAAGCATGGTCAAGGCAAAATTCAGACCAGCTTTACCTCATCTCTTCTTTCCAAGTCATACTCCTGCAATTCCAGTGCAGTCCTAGTATCAGAGGAGACAGGTGAAGTGCATGCGGTCTTTATCTCAGTCCTCAAGTAGCGATTGTTTCAAAGTCTGTGCTAAAGCCCTGTTTCCTTTCTCAACATTCACAATATGAAAGTGTTTGGCCTGTAGAAAATATGCTGTTAGAGGACACCTGTAATAGTTTACTCAGTTTGATAAGTTTGGTATGTTTCTTCTGTTTTCAATTGTGGATGCAATATGTAAATTTAAGTGCTTGCTGTGTTCTTAATTCGACAAAAGGTTCATGATTTTTCATAAAACTTTTGCATGGATTGAATGCTTTTTTCTGCAACAGCAACAAGGATTTAAACTGAAGATCAAGTGTAAAATGTTAATAAATAACAGTAAGAATAACTGTAATGATGCAATATAGAACATAAGTTTCAGCAAAGGAAAAAGGCTACTGGGAGGGGTGTGGTGTCTTTTATGGTAATGAAATTTCTTCAGCAGCGCAGTGTTTGATTTGACTCTCATTTCTGGGCTTCCTGTCCCTCTCCTGTTGAGAGGAGCAGAGTTTTGGTATAACTTTATTGCTGTCTTCCTGTGTGCTGCAGCCAGGTAACACAGATTTTTTTTTTTTACATTTATGTTGATTCAAATTAATTTTTTGCTGGGAAATGACAGTCAGAAGTGAGAGTCCTGCAGGTTCCTTAAAGTACAGTCCAGCCACACTCCAGCTTGTGCAATACACAGATAGGCCGTGTGCTGAAGCCTCTGCCTCACTTGGTTTCTGAAAATCCCTATTTGGATTTCACTTTGAGAATCCAGAATTTTCACTGTCTGAGGTATCGCAGATAGGAATAGAATCTGAAAGATTTCGATACTGTATGCCAGCAGGGGAAAGCACCATGCTTTGGCTATTCACAGGGATCAGCATAACTTGAAAGAATACAAGCATTTTATAGTTACTGTTTCCTATTTCTATCTCAGAAATTCTTTACAGCCTTTATGCAGACGGAGGTTGGATTAGATGATCTCTAAGGTCCCTTCCAGCTTATGCCATTCTATGATTCTATGATTTTTAGATTAAAATACTGAACAAGATTCATCAAGCTTGCCTCTTAATTATTCCAGTTCTGGCTTAATAGCTCAGAAATCTATTTCTTAAGTAATTATGTAACTTTGTGCTTTCTTTTTTTTTCCCCATTTGATTGCTGCTGAATTCTAAAAATCTTTGTTTGCGTTTTTCTGTCAGGTACCAGCAGAGAGAAATAATCCAAGTGAGCTATGAGAGTAACAGGACAAAAACTGAAGTCTGTGGAAATGGATTTATACTTTATCTTGTTGTGCTAACAAGCACAAGAACTCTGTGGTTAGAAAATAAGAATGTTCAACTTTAGTAAAATCAGAGAGTGTAGAATTAGCTGAACCTTTTGAGACAACCCTCTTCGTCTCCAAGGGGGCCCCTTCCCCCAGTGATGAGGCCACCCTCTAGTAATAGGGTAGAGAACAAGAGAGATGACTGAACCTCATAGCAACAGAGAACTGCCAGACTGTTTTCTTTTAAGTATTGATGTCCAGCTTTGACATCTAAAAGTATAACAAAAAATATTTGCATGGGTCAGTAGGCAATACAAGGTAGGTCCAAACTCATATTCAGAGCATAGCTTGTGTAAATAATCTGATCATTGAAGAGGTGTAAGAAGCAAATGGCAAAGAGTATTACCCTCTTCCGCCTTCCACATCTCCTGGAGGAACTAGATGGAACAGGAAACCCTGCAGTATGACACTGGCGTCCATCCTTGGGTGAGATTTTGAGTGTTGCGTTCTCCCACTGAGATCTCTTGCATGGCAGGATGTTGCAAAGCTGCCACAGGGCGTAGCTCTATCAGCAAAAGATATGAGAACTTCACTGTACAGGCTTCCTGGTGTCCTTAAGCCAGGAAGCAGAACTGTGTAGCCCTACTGTTTGCAGGGTCTTCAAGGGCCCTTCTGTGGACCACAGGATCTGGCTCTGTAAGGAAATATGATATGGCCAGTCCTTTTGGAAGAGGAAGGTTTGTGCTGAAATGGAATGGAAAGGAAATGAATGCCTCTTTCAGATAAAGGTAGATATTGATGGTGGTGTACTCAGGGACAAATAATCAAATTACAGGCAGTGAGCCAGAATTCACCCAGCTAAGGCCTAAGAACTTCTATCAGGGTTAGCTGTTAATAAAATGCGCTGAATAACACCATCGTCAACAAAGTTAATTTGCCTCACAGTCAGCCTGAACACACTGCTTTTCACCTTGAAAAGGACAGTTTTCCAGGACTTCTGGTTCAAATTATCTGTCATTTTTTGTAATAAAAGGAAGACTTAACTTTTTGAAATAGTTTAAAACAATAAAGCACAGCTGGCCATTCTTAACAGTCAGAAGTAGGCAGAAGGAACAGATAGTGTGGTGCAGCCTCAGAGAGGTGTTTGTCCTGGACAAAAACATTGCAGCCTGTGTTCTGAAAGCAAAGCAGAATAGTGAAAATGGAAAGGAGAGGTGTGAGAGAAAAGAAAAGGAAAAAGAAAAAAAAAAAGAACTCTTCTGGATTTGATTCAAAGTTAATTTAAGTAACTGAAAACTTTCTGTAGGTTTTGAATTCTGGTAGAGCGTGCCTAAGAGATGTGTCCATTTTCATTGTAGTCAGTGATTTTTTGTGTTGTGTGGGGGTTTTTTTTGCTATTGTTATCTTGCATTTCATTCATATGATGGAGAATGGAAGTACAGCCTTTTGAATGCAGTTTTCCTCAGGAGATCTTTTCCAGAACCATCTGTTTCTGAGACGTATGTTTAGAATTTCTCCAGTGAAGAGAGATCTCCAAGGCCTGGGAAATCTTGATGCTAATTGTCACCATTTTACTCAGTCCAACAGACAGCAAATATTTCTTATGGATGTCAGCTAAACTTGACTCATCCTTAGAGGCAGCTCTATGTAGATGGGAGCTGGAAAAGGAGAGTTTTTTCCATCATCAAGGAAGATTTGACTTGCCTCACTGAGTAACCAGAGAGAAAGATGGGAAGTATAAAGACATCTAATTCTAGGGTGAATTGTGAAGTCATGGTTCCCCCTCAGTCCTCCATGGGTAAGAGTGAAGGGAATCAGCTCCTGTGGCCCTGGCTTTATGACTTTTCTCATGGTCTCTGCAGCGGACAAGGGTAATGCAGGAATATTGCTGAGACCATGGTGTAAAATGCACTAAGCAAAATGCAAAGCAGATAGAACTGCCCTCTTGCGCTGCAGCTCTTATGTTCATTGTGTACCTTAAACAGAAAAAAAAAAAGCTACTCAACTCTTCTGCTTTTTAATTACATTTTCTTCAACAGGAATTTGGAGCTGCTTGAAAACTGCTTGAGAGCATTGAAAAACATTCCATTAACTGATACTCTGTGCGGATATGAAATTATCTGTTGATGTACATGTGACAGGTGTTAATTTGTTTGGTTTGCTTTTTTGTTGTTTTTGTTCTGGCAGGGTGAGCAAGGAGATCTGGGGGAAGCAGGTTACCCAGGAGACTCTGGTCTTCCAGGCCCACAGGTAGCTAAAAGAACTTCTGAGTTGTTTTTGTGTTAGCTATGGAGAAGGTGAGTTGTCAGTCTTGATCTTTTGTTTTTCTTTTGGAGTGCTTCATTTACTTCAACTAAGGAATATTGTGAGTAAGATTCTTCCCTGGCAAATCTCTTCTGTATCTCTGAGGAATGAAATGTGACAAGTTTCTTTTTCAGTTTAACTAACACATCTGTAGCTTACAGGATAGTATCAAGCAGATATCTTAAATTAATTCGTTAGAGATTGCTAGAAAGAAGTACATAAAATCTTTTTCATTTTTGAATGTACTGTATTTCCAGGGTGCATTAAAATGATATGCTATTGACAAAACCAATGAGGAAAGCTTTGTGTTTTAAAAATTTGCTTGGTGGAGTAATTTTGAAGAGAATTATGGTGGTAAACTGCTTACAGTAGCTTCTAGTTTTAAGATACTCTTACATGCTCTAAAGGAGCTCTTAACTTTAAGATACAGGCATCTAGAGAAAGTGTGCCTAATTGATAGTGGGTTGCTTATGGCTCCCTTGGTATCTTAGACACTGCAGTGGCTCTCTGAATATGGCCCTCAGGCAGTGACCATCTCAGCTGCTTCACACAGGCAAATCTTTACAACCAAGCAGCCAGAAGTTTTCACCTCTGCATTAAGGCTTATGAAACAGGCACTTGGATTCTGGTCATTGGAGCAATCTGATCTTCATTGAAAGGCTGTCAGCATTCAACTGACTTTTTTTTTTTCAATGGCTTTTTTACATCAGGGCCCAAGAGGACTACAAGGGATCAGAGGACCTCCAGGACCACAAGGCATGCCAGGCCCTTTGGTTAGCTTTAGATAATATATTCCTGCTGTGCACATTAGGGCTTTTCATTCTCAGTGTTGATATTATTCTTATAAAGAGTTTTAAAAAAACTCACAGAAGGGAGAAACTGAGTATTTTTCAGTATAGTACCTAAGGAAACTGATATGCAGCCTCATACGATAAAATAACAGCCTTGAAAATAAGTTTAGGTGGGTGAACAGGAAATGAACTTCAGTGTTACCAAGCTTTTGCATGATGACAATGAAAAGCCTTAGCTCTAGATTACACTCTCAGTTCTATAGTATCAGGACTAACAGTGTGGCTTGCAGCATGTATAAATACAGATGTACAGTGGTGTAGTTGGGGGCAAAGTTAGATAATGGTCAGGCGTTTCATTAAAGTATGGCCTGTGAGATTTAGTGCTGGTGTATGATGAGGTTGTAACTATTGAGTGCTGCCTGCTGACCTTCTCACTTGTGTGATGCTGTTGATTTTGGGTCGTTTTATTCTGGAATTACACCAGTGGAGCTCAGGACCGGAATGTCCTACTCTGTGAGCCTTGGGCATCTGCTTCAGTCATGTAGTGATGCTCATGCTTACACATACATTTGTATGTGTGTGCATATATGTATTCATATTGTTTGTGCATATATGCATGTACTTATTAGGTGTATCTATGTAGACAGAAAATAACATTAATGTCATACTTAATAACATCTTGAGAATTTTAAAGCCATTGTACAGAAAACAGAAAGAACTGGAGTGATACTTTGACCAGTAGCTTACTGTGATCCTCAGAAGTCTGTTAATGTGCTAATATTTGTACTGATTCTATAATAACTCCAAGTGATAAGGAATCCTTGAGTACAATGAGGCCCTGATTTCTTCATTGGGCACCTTTTAACTGATGCTTTTGATTACAGGCTAGTCTGGGGGCCCCAGGTTCACCTGGCTCTGTGGGGAAATTAGGCGCAAGAGGAGCAAAGGTAAAGATTTTTAAGGTACCTAACTGCAGCAATCTAACTGTATCATTCTTTCAAGAATCTAACTGAAGAAGCATGAACTAACACTTGTGTTGTTCCTACGGAACATATGAAGAATGTTAAGTTTTATAGAAGTTCTTAGATTGCATAGGAAGGCAAGTGATATGTTCAAGATAATCTTACAGGTGTCAGAGCTATACTAAGAAGTTTTTAGTGTTACCATGACTGCTGTTCTAATTGCTGTTCTGGTCATTGTTCTCAGTGGGGCCTGGCTTCTCTCAAAATGTAGTAGTCCTGACCCTTGGCGCTTGTTCTATGATTCCTAGAATCTGTCCAATCCATTGAAAGTATTTACCAGTTAATCACAGAGTATCTCAAGTTGGAAGGGACCCATGAGGATCATTGAGTCCAACTCTCTGCTCCTCACAGGACTACCTGTGACTAAACCACATGACTAAGAGCATCGTCCAGATGCTCCTTGAAGTCTGACAGGCTTGGTGCCATGACCACTTCCCTGGAGACCTTGTTCCAGTGACTGACCACCTTCTCAGTGAAGAACCTTTTCCTACTGTCTAGTCTGAACTTCCCAGTTTGATGAAGCATAGCTGCTTATTTTAACCTTTTTGTTCTAAAGGTTCCTAACCACTCCAAGGAACCTTGACTGTTATGACATCTATTATACAGGAATTAATATGTTGAGAAGAACTAAAGGTACATCAAGTTAAACAGAAAGGCTTGTACTGATCGGTGGTCCACATTACGGTTCATTTACTTATAATAATCCTTTACTTTCGGTATGTGCATTGATATGGGAGACTTAATAAAAATAACTCATTTTAGGTGTTGTTGCATCTTTGCGTCTAAAAGGCATAAATACCAGTGAGCTGAGCCTTTCAGTCTCTTCGAAGGGTTATTACATCCAGTATAGTATTACGTTCAGTGACAGAGAGGTATCGGAAGGTCAAAGTGCTACTGTGAGAAGAGTCACTGTGTGAAATTGTACAGTGAAACAGTGGCAAAAATTAGGAAGAAACATAGGGATTTAATCCATCACACATTCCATTTTCTCAATCTGGCTTTCTGCTGTTTAATGTTGGAGTTCTCATTAGAAGAAAGTGAAAACCAAAAAAGGAAGTGAAGAAAAGAAAACTTGCAGGAGGACTAAGAGCCGAGTGCAGACAGCCTGTCTGAGAAATATTGTCTGCTATCAACAGATGCTTCAGGCTCATAGAATTCCAGGCTATGTCCCACTACCATTAATATAACTTCTTCCGGAAAACACTCTGTTCACTGTTAATTCTGTATAACAATGGGATTTTTATTGAATGAAGACCTTTGGGGTTTAGCTGCATGAATGTTAAGTACTTCACAGTTCCACTGCAAGGAACCTTTCTTGAAACATGCTCTGTAATGGAAACATGGTCTGTAATGGAATGCTTTTGACTGGCATCAAGTAGTCCATAAAATGTATAAGCACGCTTCAGTCTAGCAGAGAAGTATGCGTTTCAGAGAGAATTCTCCTGAATGAGCCAAATCAATGCCTCTTATGTTTCAATTATAACAGGGTGAACCTGGTGACCCTGGAGAGAAGGGCCCAGTGGGACCAGCTGGACAGAGAGGCATGCCTGTGAGTCTTTCTGCCCTAATTCAGGGCCCCTGTAGTTTAATACCCATCCATCTGAATCAGTAGAGTTAATTCCCTTCCATTTTCTCTGTTTTATACAATTAAAAATATTTCACATTTGGTTCTTCATTTCCTTATGGATGCTAGATTTCTTGTGGGCTAGAGAGAATATCTTTTCCCTCAGGTTCTCTAGGAGACAGAGAATATGCTAGAAGTAAGTCACAAAGTGGAGAGGAACTGTGGCCTTAATCCTTGTATTCTCTCTACAGATTTTGCCACCATTTGCTCCTGGTTTTAGACTGTTGTAATAGCTCACCCTGCTTCATTGGTCTTAACAGCCTGGACACCCCATTGTAATGAGAGGTCTTTATTCCAAACTCGTTGGATGTGAAACTAATCCTCTATTAAAAGCTAACTCATGGTATATTCAACCTATGCAGGGTATGGATGGCAGAGATGCATACGGTCCTGAAGGAAGCAAAGGAGCAAAGGTGAGTGCTTAGAGACATCCTGTCGCGTCAAATGTCGAATCAAGCATGACCATCTATATTTCATTCAAGAGAAACGTAAGACATGGCCACAGTGCATTTCTGAGGTTCAGTAAGAGGCTTAGCCTTCCCACAACCATCCACGTGCGGAATTCTGCAATAGGATAGTCTTTTGAGAACCACTCTCTCTTATTCTTTCCCTTGATGTGTGTATGTGTGTATATGGATATGGGGGACTGTACTTCTTGGAGCACACAGTGCTTTCTCCCCACTTCAGTCTGCTTGACTAGCCGCTCTTGTTGGCAATATTGGTGGGCCAGTCACCTTGGACTCTTTTACAGAGGAGGAGTTCCTTGGCTGCCTAGGTGAGGATGATATTTTCCAAACATCTTCACTGTTTTAATGTGAAGTATTCTTCCTTATGCTCCTGTGGTCATCAGTAAGATCTGAGGATTAACCTCTGGATTGCTACATTTTTAGGAATTCTTACCATTCCTTTCACAGTCCTGGAAGAAATAGTAGTGAAATACCTACTTCTCTAAACACATACAAGAATCCAGCTAAAATAAGAAGTATACAGAAAGGATGAGGTCAGGGTCATGGCACCAGTGGCACCAATGAGTCAGTCCGTGAGCAGAATGGTCAGGACGGTGGAAACAGCTGCTATTCTGTTTTCAAAGCATTTGTGTGCTGTTACAGTACTAGTCCTTCCGGTTGCTTGTGAAAGAGAAGTGGTCCAGTGGATCTCACTGGAGGCTCATCTGTCTCACTCGCCCTTTTTGTGGGAGAAGCAGAGTACTGCAGAAGCTGCAGAAAAGATATGAAAGGCTTCCCAAGAGCCTCTCCAACTGATGAGCTCCTTTTTTTAAAATGGCTTTTTATTAAAATGACCCTTAATGCTTCTTATTTATCCTGTCTCTTTTCTTACCTTCTTAGCCCCAACAATTTCCTTTGATGGGAGAGTTTCACGGGTTACACATAGGTTACTTGTAAGACTAGTTCTTTTGACCTCTTGGAATCTCCCACTTGTTCATTTCAGGGAACATCTTCCTTGTTATGGGAAATGAAGAAAAAAAGGTTTCTGCTGAATGTTCTTGTCATTATTCATTGTTTTAAAGGATTGATTTAAACTCCTTCTTATACACTGATGTGTCTGCCCAAGGTTTGGCAGGGCCTGAATTAAAACAATTAATAAAAACAAACAAAAAGCCAATTCATCCCAGAATAGTGGTCCAGAGTTGCTTTCCCCTGATAGCTAAGAAAACAGCCTTTGGTATAAGTTTTACTTAAGGTTGCTATGAATTATACAGGTTCGTAGTCACATTATGCTTTCTTAGCTATGTGAGGCCTGTGTGCATGTAATTTTCTAGAAATTGTGGGATAAAGTCATGTGATGTTTGACAAACATGTCCACTTTCCTAGGAAGAAACTCTTAAAGACATACGTAAGTAGTGTGAATTCTGATAGTTACTCTAATGCCAAAGATACACTTTGGTTCTGATTGATCTTCGTGAGAGTTCTCCGGTTTCTCATAAATGAGCAAAGAACACACCAAAAACTGAAGTAACTGAAAACAATGATGTGGCTTCCAATATGCCAACGAAATATTATGGTATCACGTTTAGTACGGAGCATGCAATGTTTTGAAACTGCATTCAGACACTGAGTTCTGAATGTTATACTTATGATCACTGAACATGAATTCCGCTGTATGTTACTAGGAGGTCTAAACAAGTTTTGATAAAACACTTGTTTGAGACACGGAATACTTTCGAAAAATTCAGAAGCTGTTGGAAATTTTTAAAATACTCTTCCTTTAGATGAACAAGGTGTTAATCTAAAATGATGTTTAGAACAGAATAGTATTTACTGTTACTTGATCAGGGTGGAATGCTAAGAGTAATTTTGAAATTCTTTTTGGTTTAAAGACATCAAACGCGAAGCAGATCATAAAGCTCTAGATTCTTAGGAAGTCTTTGTCCTTTCTTTTGGTAGGGAGAATCTGGATTCATAGGATATCCTGGTCCAGAGGTATGATTAAATAGGCATGCTTGCTTTCTTTATGTCTTGTTTTGCATTTTTCTTGTTTAGAAGTGGTTCTCTGTCTTTGTCTGTCTTCTCCTTTCCTGTAAAGTTCTGGATTTCATTAATTTTCAGGGAGAAGATGGAGACCCAGGCGTTCCAGGAGCTGAAGGACCCAAAGGAGTTAGGGGTAGAAGAGTAAGAACAATAAATCTGTTAGCTTTGTGAAGAGTTCTATAAGCAAAGCCCTTATGTCTTAAGTGTTTCCTTATCAAAAATTTTTCAAATTGGTTCCTACTCTGATCTTTTATTGTTATATCCTCGTCAAGAGGTTTTGAGAAAATGCAAGTCTACATCTTTAGAGATGTTCATTCCTAATAATTCTTAGAGGTAGTATTCTGTCTTTATATAAATGCAGGATCCAACTCACAATAAGGTTATAGAGGTTTTTCTCTGCTGAAGTTCTGCACCTGTGTGTGCAATTATAAAGAATAAAACTTTTATTTCTATTTTTAGGGTAATGCTGGCACACCAGGTTCTCTGGGAGATCCAGGGGACCAAGGGCCATCAGGACCTATGGTAATATTTTTTTATTTTAAAAAAATCACTTTTAGATTGCTCTTAAACTTGCTCTTAGATTAATGGAATGTATAATAATGTTTCATATAGTAAACGATGCTTAATCAGCCTGGCAGTTGTATAGAGTTACGTCTTGCCTGTGGATGTGTGTGCACAAGAGCACCTGGTGTTGGAAATGGAACTGCAATGATGCAATGCAGGGCAGAATTTCTTCCATGGCATTTGGTATTGTCTGTTGGCTGGGTAAATAGCTTTTTAAAAAAGAAGAGAGTACTAAAATGTAGAACTGGATTGTTCTGCTGAAAGCCAATGTACTTTTTCATTTAAAGAGAAAAGCCATTTAAAATCAGACTTGCCATAACAGGCGCTTAAAGCTTAAATTGGCTGTAGCCTGTTAATCCTTTTAATGTACTTTTCCAGTGTCTGTGATCTGCATTTTATATAACAAAAAGTTTTATTCTCTACTTAAACAGGGGAAACGATCATGGATTTCAGTGGGATTGAGGACTAACATTGTAGGCAGTTAGGAAAATCCCTGTCTCTATCTTTATCTTGCAGCAGTTCTGTGAATCAGCTCCATGGTGACTAGAAATGATCCCTACTGTTAATTATTTTCTTGTTAAACTTTCTTAAACTTACTTTTTTAGTATAAATGTGGAACACTATTGATAACAGTATCTTTACCTGTATTACAAGGCCCATGGGATACATGCAACTTAGAAAACAAATATTATTCTTTTTGTCATTACACTGTGCTGGTCAATGAGTGTACCTGGCCCGCTTCATGTTATGATGCTGGGCACAAGAACGGCCAAGAGTACTGGCTGGAATGCATTGTCTCCCTGCTGCTTGGCTGCTCACATAACCTTACAGACAGACAGACCTTGTGTGCTGATGAGCCAGGTAACTGTTGGCCTTGCCAATCCATAGTCCAAGAAGTCTTCAGAGATATTTCACCTCAGGACCTCCTCTTCAGATGTAGAAGTGAGAGTGGAGCTTGGGAAGTATGGGCTTGGTGGGACTATTGTAGTAGCAGTGCATCAGTGAAGTGGGAAGTGGAAGAGAGAGGGATGCAAGAAGGGATACAGATAGTATGCAGGGTCAGCCAAAACAGGCCTATTTTACCCATCCTTCCTGACTTGGTGGCATGATTATCCATACGGGTTAAGTCTGCACAGCTCAATCACCACTACTAAGCTGCTGCAAGTAGCATTCATTAGGACTCAGGCATTTCAGAGTTAACTCTTGCTGAACAGTAACAAAGAAGAACTGGGACCTGCTAGGAAACATAAGAAGATAAAAGTATGGAACGGCTGTGGTGGTTCTAGCAGCAAGACAGCAGAGGAGATGAGGAAGGTAGCTCAGGCAGGAGGTGGAGGAATGGAAGGTTAGTTGGAGAGGGAAGGAACAAATATGGAGATGGGGTTGTAATTTGAGGATGTAAGGAAGCGTCTGATTTTGGTAAATGGTAGTGTTACAGTAGAGAGAGGCTAAGGTAAAAGTTGTGGCATGTGGAATTCAAATTTTTCTGGTGTGTCTCACTGCAGCCACCTGTGAGTAAGTAAAAAATTTTCAGTAATCTTGCTATGCATCTGAATTGCACATGATGAAAACTCTCAAGCTGCCTTGAAAAAAAGTTCTTTTCCATGTATTTTATTCCTTTTATGAAGATTAAACAATTCTTTTATTTTGAAAAAAGATGCTTAGAATTCTGGCATTTGCTCCAGCTCCCAAGGAGAAGGCTGCAGAGTAACCAAAGTTAGCTAGACTGGTTGAGCAATTGTGATGTGTGTATCATCTGCCAGATCTCTGGAGGAAGAACTGTGGGGATTGTGCCCTGCAAGAGAGGGCAAGCCTATCATGCATCAGAGGTTGCAAAGGATGTTAGGTGTAGATAACTCAACCACAGCGCAGGAATTGCTGTTTAGAAAGGAAATCCAATTCTGAATTATACTGGTTCTCAAGGGCAAACATGTATTGAAGATTTTTAAAACCATTAGGGAAAGTGGACTGAGAAATAGGTCTGAGAAGTAGCTTGCAACTCTATTTGGAACAATTCCACAGAAATCCGTGCTGGGAACTGATGTCTCCTCATATTTCAAATTCACAAATGGTTGTCAGGGAAACACTGTATGCCTACATTTTCTTTGAGCTACGGAGTCATAGGTGGAAATACCTTATTAGGGTCTGATTTTCTGGACCTGTGTTTAATTTGTTTCAGGGTGCCAAGGGACCAATGGGCACCATTTTAATGGAAGTAAGTAATCACCTTACAGCACGCTGCATGGAATTAACAGTTGTAGTCTTTCATTTATAAGCACTGACTGCACTGAGAGCACAATTAGCTGTTATAAAACAGTGTCCTTTTCAAATACTTGTCAGAGTGCGGTGGGTTCTTGTGTTCTGCAAATAATCAAGGAATGAGAAGTAATTATCCGTATGGATTAACGCCATGTCCAAACTTCTACAGACTGTTGAACTGTTAATATTCCTTTATCTGTTTATCTGTTTCTTCATTCACATCAGTTTACACACCAGCTCAGGTTTAGGGTTACTTTTCACCTTTTCACCCTCTTGTAAAGGAAGATATTTCCTCAGCAACAACGGTTATTCCTCGCTGGGAATAGCAGGGCGGGATTTCTTCAGAATCCTAATCTCCTATAAGAACACTTCTGAGTAAAGGCTCCATCTAACCCTTGCATGGACAACTGCCTGCAGGCAATACTGTCGCAGGTGTGTTCTATGTCCAGAGGTGGTCCTCTCATCATTTGTGGATCTCTCTCTTCCTGTTTGAGTTGCTATTGAAATGCCTGTTCTTCTGCAGAAGTGCCATTGCCTGGTGACCTCCTAGATCAGATTATTACACAAAATAAAGAATGGATAAGTGGTTTCTCTAGAGCATGATTGCGTGCCAAACACAGCATGTCTAAGAAAACCCCTTAGTTTCTGCAGCAGGGGCAGAGCCCCTGCACTATTTGAAATAGAGAGGAATTGGAATGTGTGATTCTGGTTTTACTGTAACGACAGTTAGTTCAGGAGCTGGGATATGGCCTTCAGCTCAAACCAATAGTAAGATTCCCAGTCTGGGATGGTCTGGGGTTTACCATTAACTGCTTTTTTGTTTTGCTTCTGCAGCCTTGTGAACTAGTGAATTTTACACGAAAAAACTGTCGTAAGTAGAGAGTATCTTCTTTTACCTCTGATTCCACTTAGTCACTCTTCTTAAATGGAATAGCCTCCACTGGAAACCCTGTAGACTTGTAATTTGTATCTGGATTCAGTTTAATGATGACTGGTAGTTATTAACTGTGAGGGGTTTTCAGCAGGTGTATGAAACAGGCTTACACTTTTTGCTTATTTTTCCTCTCTCTTAATTACAAAAACTGTAACACATGTCTCTTCCTCATTTAATATTAAACTGATTCTTTGGCACTGTAGCAACCCTTCTTTGTAGAGTTCTCTGAGAGAAAATGATATTTGTATATCACCTGTCCTCCATATTTGAAGTGTTTGTTCTCTCTGACTTGTGTGCTCAGCAGAACCCAGAACAATTTCTTTAATTCTCATCCAGTAAAATTGCACTATTTTGAGTATCTGATTGTGCAAGAGGAGTGTTATCTCTGTTAGTTGTCTGAGCTTTGGATCAGGCTCTTTAGTGAAAACAAGTGAATATATTAATGAATTTGAGTCCAAAATAACTTATTTGATTTCCATCTCTTCATTTTAGCTTGCTCATCAGGTAAGCCCATCTGGCCTCTGCATGTCTATTCTTTTATAGACTTGGAGAAAAAACTAACAATAGTTGAATTGTGGAAAGGTTCTCACACAAATTTCTTATTTCACTGTACAGACACATGTCCAGTTTATCCAACTGAAGTGGTGTTTGCCTTCGATATGTCTGAAGATGTTACGCCAGCTGCATTTGAAAGAATGAGGAACATTGTTATGTTATTGCTGAAGACTGTTAAGATTAGTGAAAGCAATTGCCCAACAGGCGCTCGTGTCTCCGTTGTTTCTTTCAATACCAATACGCGCTATCTCATCCGATTCTCAGAATTCCAAAAAAGCAACTTGCTGCTACAAGCTGTCCAAAGAATACCACTAGAGAGGTCCACTGGAAAACGTAATATTGGAGCAGCCATGAGATTTGTTGCAAGAAATGTCTTCAAACGTGTTCGTCAGGGCATCCTCACAAGGAAAGTTGCCCTATTTTTTGCCAATGGTCCATCACAGAACGATGTTGCCATCAGCACAGCTGTACTTGAGTTAAGTGCCTTGGACATCACTCCAGTGGTTATTGCCTTCAATGAAGTGCCAAATGTCAGACGTGCCTTCTTGGTAAGTATATAGGCTATAGAAAATTGAGTCAGTCATCCGTTTGCTTAGTATCTACTAGTATTTGAGTAAAGCGTGTTCTCAAGCCAGTAAGTTCCACAGGAACTGCCCAAGCCCTTATTAGAAAGGGGTATGTTAAAGGTTACTATTTTAACAGAGAAACACTGATAACGCTTTACCATAACAATCACCATCTGATCTCTTTGTGCACGTGAATTATTTTTGACTTGTGCTTGTAGGCCAAATCACAGAATTTCAAGAACATTGTGTTAATTTCGCTTGGTTACCTATGCCATTTCTCTTCTGATGCTGTGACATGTACTAACCATTTAATTACCAAACTGTGACCCTAGTTTCTAGAAAAAGTTGTAGCAGAAGGCTTGAAGTACACCATTTTTTTTTCAAAAGAAAATTAAATTAAGCAAAACCCCTTTCGATAGCTGTATTGACATTAGTACAGGAGAAAATTAACAACTTTTGTTTTGAAATACGACTGCATATAAAAAGATAGTAAACAAAAAAGCAATCCATTTTACTGGGTACCAAAGGAAAATGATACTACGTTTCTTTAAAGTTTCATAAAATGTATTCCATATTCTCTCTCTTTTCAATTTATTTTTGTATCATCTGTGCTCAGTTTTAACTTTTTTGGAAATAAATTTCTTCCAACTGCGCTTTCTTCAAAACTATCCTTATAGAAGGAAACTATGTTTACTTACATGTGACAAAAAGTGCAAAACTTGGAGTCTAAGTTCTGCTCTAGTAGCACCCAAGTCAGACCTTTAATCTTCGTATGACATTAATTCCCATGCAGCCTCATGTCTATTAGTCAATTCACATGTTTGTCTGGCTGAATGTTAGTTTAGCAGAATGCAAAAATTCTGCTGGCATATGAGATGGAAGCTCATAGTTTATTCACTGGGTTGCTCCAGTATTTTGTTTACTTAGCATAAGCAGATTACGAATCCGAATGCATGTGATGACATCTGGTATATACAAGGGTGCCAACTTTCCATAAATCAGTTTTCAGAATAGAAAAACTTAACAAAGCTACTTAACAGGGGAAAGGCAAAAAAATTCACTGCCCAGCTCTCCTTTATGGTTACAGTGATGGGAAGGCAACCAGCCTCACCACCACCCCCCAAGAAAATATAAGCTCCCTTTTTTTTTCAGGTGGACTTCTGCCCTTGCAGTTTGAGAGGTGGTTTAATCTTCATGATCCTACCAGCCTGTAGCCAGAGATACTTACTGGCTTTGGTTAGTTTGCTTTAGGAGCCTCAGTTTGGAGATCACTTAAACAGTCATTGCCAATTCTAATTCCTTTCAAGAGTCCTGTCTGTAACATCCTTTACAGGCATGAATCAGAAGTTAATTGTGTTGTGTGTAGCACACACAAAGCTTAAGTTTAATGCAAAGACGTAATTATTTCATTCCTCACCATTTTAGCTTATCCATATATATGGTTCATTTCCTGCAATATCATGGTATTTTACAGCTGGTTTTACTTATCTTAGTCCGCAAGGAAATGTTTTTTCCCTTGAATCACATTTGGCTGGGGTTGGGTGGTCAGTGAAATTGTAGGATGTTGGATCTTCTTCAGGGTTCCTCAAGCATTTTGGTGATCAGGTCTACTGGGAAGATTGTCTTCAGCTGATCACAGGTAACGCGTAGGTTTTTCTAATGCTAGAATTTTGTCTCTCAAGAAACACATCTTCACTGTGGAGGATTTCTCTTTGTCTCAGAGCTGAAATAGGAGATGCTGCCCATTTCTCTCTAGCACCCTACTAAGAAAAGAAAAAAGGTGATAGCTCTTCACTGGCAAAAAAAAAAAAATAGTAGTAGTCTTAATACCTTTTACCTGTGCTTTACCTATCTTTTTAATGTTACTTTTGTGTCTGCTTTAAAACATAGATTGATGATACTAGAAGATTTCAGTTATTTGTTTGGGAAAGACAACAGGATGAAAGTTTGGAGAGCATCACATATTGTACACTTTGCTTTGGTAAGACATTTTACAAATTCCAGCTGTTGCATTGGTCTTTTTACCTTTTCAATAACAAATCCTAGAGACTTTTTTTAGTTTGCAATGTGGTGTTGGGGAGTTTTAATGGTACCCCTTAAATACGTTTGTGCTTAAATATAGAAAAGAATATTTTATGAACATTGGGCAGAGTCCTGCTGCCCTAAGTGGTTCTCAAGGAGTCCGCAAAGATGCGTTAAAAGCTGATTCCTTATGTATGCTTGCACTAGCAGCGATCCCGTGAGTGGTTGTGTGAGGCGACAGCCCAGCTCTGCTGGCCAAAGGTAGCCCCTGAGTGCTCCCATTCCAGGATGGCTGCAAGACAAGCTGTGGCTGTTTCTTGTGGTCACCAAGAGAAACTTTGCGCCCTTACAGGGAGTTAAAAAAAATTCCTGTGTCCAGCCAGTTTAACCCTTTCTGCAATTGGGCCTTCTTGCCTTCCATGCCAGATCATTCCTTGGTTACAGATTACTACTGCTGAGAAATTACAATTTGTATTTCCTCTTCAGTGGATGGTAAGAATTAGAATCTCCAAACCACAAAAGCTGTTTAATTAGTGGCTGTCTCAGCTGTGTGAAATGAATTGCTATGTTTGACATTTCCTTTTTTTATGGAAATGCACTTAAAATAGCATTATGATTCTGGGAAACCAGGCTCGTTTAATGTTAATTCTACATTGTGAGGAGGGGAGAAGCTACTAAATGATAATATTTCAGAATGCTGAACAATGATCTGAGATGGAAATAGTTTGTTCCAGTGTCCTTTACAATGTTTGGGTTTCAACAGAAGAAAATTTCTCAAAGAAACTCCTAGCTGTTAAGTTTTACCTTATTAATATTTTTTGCTCTTATGCCTGAATAATTTCCAATGGTATCTCAAAACCTTGTTCAGGATGACTCACTGGTTGCTCCTTACTACAATAACAAGATTTCAAGTTGCCCAACCAATTTTTTTTTTTTTTTTAAATCAAAATTTAAGAGAAATAGTATTTGGTTTATGTTACAGCCAGAGAGAATCTCCCCCCCCCCCCCCCCCCCCCCAACTATTGCTTTTGTTGTATTGCTAAGTAGTTTGCTGCCTGTTGACTCTTCCTCTCTAGATAAATGCAAACCAAGTACCTACTGTGAGGTGCCTTTTTCTCCTCCTGTTCTGATGGATATGGATATCACTTACATCATAGACAGCTCTCGCAGCATCAGCAGTGAAGAGTTTCAGAGAGCCAAAGACTTTGTAAGCAACATGCTAGATCAGTTTGTTGTTTCCTCACAGCCAAACGAATCGTATGGAGGCATCAGAGTGGCACTGGTGCAGCAGGCTCCCAGGGGCTTCCTGCCTGACAGAAACCAGACCCCTGTGGCCTTGGAGTTTGATCTAGTCACATACAGCAATAAAGATTTGATGAAGAAGCATATCGAAGAGTCTGTTCACCAACTGGAAGGGCCATCAGCCATTGCTTCTGCCCTACAGTGGACAGTTGAAAATGTATTCTTTAAAGCCCCCCAACAAAGAAAACACAGGATCATATTTGCAATAGTTGGAAGCAAAACAAGCACGTGGGACAGAGAGAAGCTGAGAGAGATTTCACTCGGAGCCAAGTGTCAAGGTTTCACCTTGTTCACTCTTGCGCTTGGCAATGATGTGAGTGACAATGAGCTGATGGAGCTGTCAAGCTCCCCCACAGACCAGCACTTACTGACACTGGGCAGGGTTTCAACATCTGAGGTGGTATATGCTCAGAGGTTTAGCCGGGCGTTTCTAAATCTTCTGCAACGTAAGTAGCACACAACAGTGTTTGCTTAAGTTAAGGAAAAAAAGATAGATGCTGCATAGAAAAAGCAGTCAGTGTATATGTGCTGTCATTCAGTTTCTAGTCATAATTTAGCTGGCAAATCTTTCATCTTTAGTGTGCTGCACATGCTGGACACTAAGGGAAGTGCCAGTAATGACAGAATAGCATTATATTCTAATTGTGCCCTAGGCCAAGATCTTAAGTAGATTTTTTTTCCCTTAAGTTTGTATTTAACGTATGGCTTTGACTCCACTTTCGCTGAAGAAAGACCCTTCTTTAGCCAAGAGAACACAGTTATATTCCTGATTTAGGCCTACGTTTCTCCTCTGACCATTGGTCGGTCCAGATTTACTGAGCTGTTTAAGCCTATTCAGGCTTTGGGGCAGGTACAAGTTTTAACATTTAGCAAATTTAGCGTTAACCTCTTTTTGCTGCAGTTATTCCTCCTATGTAGAGCAGAAAAAGAACTTCACTTTTCAAGACACGTTCATGCAGATTAGCAGTGCTTTGAAATGCAAATGAGAATATCAAGAAGGAAATTGTCAGTGATTTAAAATCCTCATCAGAAGCATGTACTTAGAGATGTCAAAGTTTCCACAGAAGGATAAATAGTGTACTACAGAGCAAGGCAAAAACATAACAGATTGGTTCAGGAGTCATTCTCATTTAGCTGATCTCCAACATAATTTAAATTTTCCTGGACATAGTGCCAGTCACTCTAGATATACGGTATGTTGCTTATTGGAAGATGCACACTCCAGCTGACAACAAAAAAATAATGTAATGCTTTTTATTAAGTGTACTGGGATTTGGAGGACTTCAAACCTCACCCATGGTATCTGTGCTTTCCTCACAGAAGAAATGAACAGTTATCCTTCACCTGAACTTCAAGAAGAGTGTGAAAACTTAGATCAGGGAGACACACAACAGCAAGTGTCTATGATTGAAAGGTTTGGAATTGCCTATTAAACTTTTTGAGTGTGTACCTCTGAATAGTAGTTATATTCAAAGTAGTTTTAATAGAAACCATTTTAGGATCAAAAATTTTTTTCATCGTATTCAGAACGAATGAACCAGATGCATTTCTCAAGGCCATACTGGTGCTTAAATACTTACTTTTTTTTTTTTCCCCTCTCCTTGGAAGGGTGCCTTTTCCTGGAACTGATGAAACTGGTTATGGTCATGGTTTAGAAGACATTGAAAGAACTGAAAGTAGAGTCCTGAAGAATATTAGAGATTCCACCACAGAACCTGTATATACAATGCCAGAAATGAGATATGATTATGAGGAGAATGCGTATTTCACAGAGGAAGATGCTGAAGGAGAAAAGCCACAAGAGTATGGTGAAGCTCAGGAGAAGAACGAGGAAAGCTTAGAGGCAACAGTAGAAAGTAGAGCTGCCTATAGCGATTATGGTATGATTTTGGAATATGAAAATCTTTTTTAATTCAGTAAGACCATAGATTGTGAAAGGCTCAGTTGAATATTTACGCAGTATGAAGCACTTCCATTGCTTACGTTTTCAAAAGTGTTTCATCACGTATGTTTGTATTCAGTCCAAATCAATACAATAAGAGTTTGTAATTAAAAGCTGAACTGCAGGTGTCATTATGACTTTAGCTTTGATTTGTAGCTTTTTGTAATAATATAATGTAAAGTTTTAATCCCCTTTACTAAAACAGCTGATCATTTTAAATCCCCAAGTTGCACTATGATTACTGAGTTACTCCTGCTGCTAACTTAGCTCTACATGGAGGAACTAAATATGACTCTGATACTGTCTGTTCCTGTAGGAAGAACAGGATCCCTTGGCAGAGGTATCCTATCAAAATATATATTCATGTGTTTTACTTTGCTTCCTAATTATGCATTTTGCTTTGCAGATTTGCTGTTGATACAATAGATATGGGAAGCTGAGTGAGAGATAATTTGTCACCAACCTTCTTTTAACATTATTGAGTGTTTTTATTGTTTAGACTTCAATTAGAGAGAATTTCTGTGAAAAAAGAAAATGCAATGGTGTCTGCATCGCTTTGCATGTGGTAGCGCATTGTTACAGCTGCCATCCCTTTGTTTTTCATCCCTCTCCACTCAAAAATGATTCTGGGAATGTCTGGTAGCCCCATCCCTTATGAGAGAGGACCAATGCTTTTGCAAAACTGTTTTAATATTGAATCTTTAATAGCTAATTTACCTCTGGGAACGCCATACATCCACAGTGCATGAGAGTTGCTCAGCACAGATGGAATTGGTCTCGTCTCCTAACTGCACGTGTACAGTCTTGAATCAGTGCTCCCATTAACCAGTTCATGAACTCTCTGGTCACACAGAAAATTCAATAGCATGAAGATATATTAGTGTTTATACTTTACAAATGAAATATTTCCTGTGAGGAAGTAATCATTGTGAGGAAGGGTCATTGCACTGATGTTGTGAGCAGTGACCTACGCTGCTTATGGGAAATGTATGAGCTGCCATCCCCGATCCTGAGTTGCAATTAATGACCCAACAGTTTACTTCTAAAAACATGTAGCATAGTTCCAGAACATGCCTTTTGAAAGATGTATTTTGTACTGATCTATTGCTTGAGATTATTGTTTTTCATTTTAAATCTTTAGGTTGGATAGTTTTATCAGTATTTTGCTTTAGTTCTCAGTGCTTCCCCTTCGATATTGTGCAGATACCAAAGCCTAGAGCTGCCCTTCTGACGTCATTTGAGTAACTCCGAGTTTATATGTGTGAAAGCGGATTAGATCTGTACTTGCTGAATACCAGATTGCTATAAAGTATGCTACTCTAACCTACTTTTCAGCTAATTTATGCAATTCAAATCTGTGTTAATCTGGGATTTGGCTAAGAGACTATCATGGATAATGTAACCATCTATGTATGTTCATTTATGAAATTTTACGGATGGATACCAGTATAACAAGTTGGAATAAAGAGAGACATTCTGAAAAGCTTTGTTTACCTAGTCTCTATAGACCAGGTATAATCATTTTACAATAATTTTAGAAAAGAGTCTCTATTGGAAGACTAAAGATCTTTTAGCATTCCTTCTGTTAATGCCACTGAAAATCTGTTTGTTTCAGATGTTCTTTCTGGTTAAATCAATCATAAGCAGAGGAGCTTCAGACCACACTGGCACTGCGGGTTTGTGTATGAATGCTTAGCGAATCTTTGTAAGACCTTGAATGTTGGCTACCTCTTTCATCTGCCAGTTTGCACTGAATGTTACTTTTCCCTGAAATTACAATGCTGAGAAGGGTGGGTCTGTCTTTCATTAAATCTGTCTTATTTCCCTTTTCCAGATGCATGTGACCTTGTTCAAGATAGTGGAGAATGTCAGAATTACCTTCTGAAGTGGTACTACGACAAAGAGCAGAAAATGTGTGGTCAGTTCTGGTATGGGGGCTGTGGTGGCAATAAAAACAGATTTGAAACGCAAGAAGAATGTAGATTCTTGTGTATAGAGTCTTCCTAGTGCAGAGATACTTTAATTCTTCAGTTAAACTCTTAGAGTGATGGCGAAAAGGGATTGAAAGAAAAAGCTTTACATAGCCACTCATCTCCTACTTCTTGATTGTGAAGTTATTATCTAGTAACTTAATAGTGAAAATAAAATTAAATCTATTTCTCAATTGATCTTACAGAACATGTTGAGTACTGAGAAACTTCTGTTAGCCAACAGTATATTGTTTAAAAGGGGTAAAAGTATTGAAACTTGACTTTCTTCCAGGGATACCAAAATGCGGACTTTTTAAAGGTACTGAATAAAATAAAACAATACCTCAGAGACTTTCATGAGATAACATTGGATGCGAGACACTAACGTCAAAATGTTTTGATGCATTTGCTTGTGTTTATCCTGCTTATAGAAAATACCAAAAAAGGCATTTAGCTCTCAAAGGACATACAATTGCTAGAACTTATTTCACTCTGATTTAGAGGATTTTCTACCATAGAGTCATTCTTGGCTTTTTAATTATTTTTCCGAATAATCCAACATGTGAATAAAATCAATCATTCTCAAATATTTCACTTCTGCTGTTAGTTCTTGAAACAGATGTAAGCGTATTCTCGTAGCGTGGCTTCTCATATGTAAATAAGCATTGTTCCTGTTCCCCTTCCCTTCTTACCAAAGGTTAGACAAGTGCATTCATTTTAGAATATTAGATTTTCATGGTTGCTCTTGAGGGAAAGAAAAAGTCCTGAGGACATCTTCCAATTAAATATAGTAAATGTAACTCCCTGCAGAAGGGTGGGACTTAGCTGAGCTTTCACACTCTGCTGACTTACCCAAACTCTGTTGTTGCCTGTTTTGTCTGTAGAAGTCATGGTGTGTTTAACTTTGTCACCATGGGCCACTCTTTGTAGAAGTGACCGTAGTCACCTGGAGTTTTGTTCTTCTCTTTATTTGTCTACAACAAGATAGATGAAATATCTCTAATAAATTTGCATGGACTGCTGGCCAAGAGTTCCTCAGTGAACTTAAGGAACATACATGAACTTGAATTTCCAGAGCCTGGTGCTTTTGGCTTACCCAGAGGGAGTCTATTGTGAACAGTGTGAACCGAGTGGACTCTTGTGAGGCTCTGCCAGCCTCAGGGCTGTAATAATGCTGAGTATCTCAATGCTAAAGGTGACAGTGCCACCCTTAGCTCATGTCTCATGGGTTACTGCTACTGACCCAAACCCTGAGTGGGGATGAGTGAGCTGATGAAGCCATTGGTCTTTCACCGTTGGGTTTTCTTGCAAATTACAGAATGAGACTGCCATGGAGTGGGAGATATTCTGCTCTTTGTTTCTGTTCTTTTTCTGCATTCATGACTGGGAAATGGTACTTAAGGAGGGCACCTGAGCTTTCTGTTTGGAGGCTAGAACAATGTGTGCTGGCAGCCCAGAAAGCCAACTGTATCCTGGGCTGCATCAAAAGAAGCGTGGCCAGCAGGTCGAGGGAGGTGATTTTGTCCCTCTACTCTGCTCTTGTGAGACCCCGCCTGGAGTACCGCATTCAGCTCTGGAGTCCCCAACACAAGAAGGACATGGAGCTGGTGGAACAAGTCCAGAGGAGGGCCATGAAGATGATCCAAGGGCTGGAGCACCTCTGCTATGAAGACGGGCTGAGAGAGTTGGGGCTGTTCAGCCTGGAGAAGAGAAGGCTCTGGGGTGATCATCTTGCAGCCTTCCAGTACCTAAAGGGGGCCTACAGGAAAGCTGGAAAGGGACTTTTTACAAGGGCGTATAGTGATAGGACAAGGGGCAATGGATATAAACTGAAAGAGGGCAGATTTAGGTTAGATATAAGAAATTCTTTACATTGAGGGTGATGAGGTACTGGGACAGGTTGCCCAGAGAAGTTGTGGATGCCCCATCCCTGGAGGTGTTCAAGGCCAGGTTGGATGAGGCTTTGGGCAACCTGGTGTAGTGGAGGATTTCCCTGCCCATGGCAGGGGGTTGGAACTAGATGATCTTTGAGGTCCCTTCCAACCCTAACCATTCTATGATTCTATGATCCCTTCCAACTCAAACCATTCTATGACACTATGAAGCAATTTTAGAAAAATCAGAACATTTTTCTCAGGTAGCCAAGGAATGGAGTGAGAAGAGGTATTTAATTTTTCTGCAGAAGGAGCAGAGGGGAGATTAGCAGCAAATAAAAGGAGTTACAGTCTCAGATTCCCAAGCGATATAAATCAGAATAGCTCCATTGAAGTGAGATTGACAATGCCAGGTAAGACTGTCCTTCTAGCTTGGCCTGTATCTTTGTCTGTAGCCAGTAGTGGATGTTTCAGAGATCACTTCGTAGCAGGGCTAAGTAAACAGTAATGCTTCTTTGAGATGACTTCCTCAGGTAGAGATTTTACAATCTGAAACAATTTTTACAATGTTTAACTTTCCCACAGCCACACATCTCTTATGTGTCACCGATCAATCTGCCCTGTCCTCACTGTCTGTTATTACACAGAAACCCAGCAGAGTGAGGAGAAGATAGATTGAGTAGTTATCTTACCCCCTGCATCAGAGCCTGATTTCAGAGCCCGGGGTTGGAGGGGTAGGGCAGGAGAAATGGAGAAGCTACCACAGGCTAAGCCCTTCTGATGTGTGCAGGAGACTGTCATGCAAGAAACAGTGGAAAACAGAACTGGAGATGAAAGAGCTAGATTTGCTGAAGGGAGATCCAAGGGGATTCTAAATTGGTACCAGTCCCTTTGGTGTGTGCTTATGCCTCATCATGAGGCATCTGTTGTCTCATGTTTATTGTCTCTCTCTTTTTTTCCCAACGACAACCTTGCGAAGAATTCCCTGTTCTGAACAGCAGGCAAATGGCAAGAAGAGCTATAGTGGGTGACCAGTGCAGGCAGTAAAATGGAGTATAAGCCTTTTAGCAAAGATGCTATTAACTGCAGAGCAGTAACAATGGAGAGAACATGTGACTTCTTGTAACACTATGGCAGCTGCATGGGAAAGATGAGAAGATAGACAGATAGGCCTAACAGCTCGCTCAGCTGTACCAAAGACTGTTTTACTTGGGGTGTTGTGTGTTGTTGGTCAGTTGTCCTGTGTCAATAAACAAATTGGGTATAGAAGTGTGATTTGGGATTGAGTTTTAAAATACATTTCAAAATATCTTTGGTCTTACGTTTGGGTGGGTTTTTTTTATCTTTCTGTTGTTTTTTAATTTCATTTACTGGGACTGTGCAGCACCATTCAGCTAGAGACTGCTCTCATCTCTGTTCGAGTGAGTCAGGAGTCCATCTGCTAGATTCAGGGAACTTAAATCAGAGTAAATTCAGTTTGTTTGGATTTGAATCTGCTGATATTGCCAGCTGTGTTGCACAACTATATAAAACGAACCTAAAACGAAGCCAAAAACCTGGAAAAGTACTGCTTGCTGCTGTGACCAGCATACTCCTCTGTGCATTTGGCTCATTCCCTAAGTCTCACCCTGGAATCCTGATGTAAATGCATTTTTCAACTGAATTGTTGCCTCATTGTGATTTTTCCCTTACAAAAGAAAATAGACTTTTTCCTATTGTTTCTCTGAATGATCTGAATTCAAGGGGTGTACTTCAGGACATAACTGCACAGGATCTCTCTTCACCTCTTTCTTTACAACCTAAGGAAGTGTCTTGTGGCCACGGGCTCACTCTAATTTCACACTGGTGTCATTCTAGATCAATGTAAAGGCGTTCTTACAAAACTGAGATGGAGGAACAGAGAATTCAGACCTGTAATTTCTCTGATGTCTACCTCAGCTTTAAATCTGCTATTGTAGCAGGTGGAATGATGACTTGGAGCCACCAATATTTGTTACTATTTTAATGTAAAAAGAAGTGCAACTTAAAGCTTCTGTTTTTCCTAAGATCTAAATGATTAAGTGAATATTTATATTGACACCCAAATCAACTGTGTGGTCTTGAATCATTAATCATTATTCACCTAGGAAGATTTTTTTATGTTGAGCCTTTTACTGTCTCATCGTTGTCACCAGCACCTCATTTGAACCTCTTACAGAATTGTATTCCATCAAAAGTGTGGCTTTTACAGCTGGCGTTTCTAATGGATACCACTTACTTTCTTCATGATGCATGTCTATGTAAGGTACAGAAACTGTTTTTCAGTGGAACTGGTATTTATATTTCTATTTATTATAATTAGGTTTGGATCATCTTATAACTGTTGTTCTGGAAGGAGCCTCCGCTTTTCAAAACCTCTGATCCACGGAGTTTGGGAAGGGATTTGAATATGGAATTCACTTAGATATTGGCATGACAGGTATCGCTAGCAGGCTAAGTTCTTGGTAAGCTATTTGATAAAGAACCAATGTACACAGTAAGATATTGGGTAAAAGAACTGCACAATCAGACCATGAATATCAAGTTTGGTAAATACGACTAAGGAAAGGAGTCGTGCTGTTAATAGAGCATAAAGTCCAGTTGTATTTTCATGGTGAGTGCTTCCAGTAAGAGCAGGAGCAGAGCCATGAGGAAATTTTTGGAGAACACATTTTCATCTGCAGTAACTTCTTTTTAGGAACAATATTGGTGAGAGAACCTGCTGCTGTTTGTCTTTCAGACATACTGGGGAAGAAGGTGAAATTGGAGATAGGGGAAAACGAGGGATAAAGGTAAAAATACATCCTAGCTTTGTATTGCTAAGTTTGAGTAGTAAATAATGATGTGCTGCATGTGGAAAAAAATCACACCTTGGGGTTCCCACCTGCAGGTGGTACTTACTGCCTTTGTCACAGTTAGTGGTGAGTGCGATGCACAAAAATGATTCTGCAAGTGAATGCAATGCCGCTGGTGAGCGTAATCAGTATTCAGTGATGTCTTTTACCTCTGGGAAGGCCTCTTGTCCAGGCTGATGCTATTACCTTGCACGTCAGGAAGAAGAGCTGTGGATAATGAAAATAGGTTTTTCTTTTCTGAGCTTCTCTTAAGTGGCAAATAGATTTCTAATAGTCCCCTTCAGCTGGAA